CTCATTACCTCAATTCCTTATCTCGTCCACTTCAAACATACACGATGCAGCCTAATCTACAATATCAGCACTATATTCCCCCATTTATCCCACGCAACTTCTCTCATCCTTTCAAACCTCCAAAGAGGAAAGGATCACAGAAGCGCGATGATTCTCCACGAGAAAAACGTATCAGAAAGGGTGATAAAGCACTAAATATTGTAGACAACGCCTCAGACGAACCTCAAATATGTGAGGTACCCGTCACTCGGTGGTTCGGTCAAGAAAAGTTGTACAATGATGCTGCTCATATCATTAAAAGTCAAAAGAGCATCGAGGAAGAACTTTCCAAACTCGAGTCACGAACTGACGAAATACTCCATAAGGTCATGAAAGCACACAATAGTGGTGACTAGGGAATACACCTCACACGGCCTAAACGAAATATGTTACGCAAATTCTTGTTCATTATGAAGTATCGAGGACCGGTGTGTTTTGGGAAATATATCTCTGGTGAACTTGGCTGCTATCAATTCGAAGACAAGAATCTCTTGGGTTTTTATATGATATCAAAAGGGTTTGAAACTCCAAAGGATGCTGGTTGCACAACCTTCGAGCTATCCTGGATCTTGAAATGGACGCTGAGGGCCTGTAGATGACGAAATTGGAAGAGGTCATGTTTCCCTGCGATGCGCGCGAATGTTTGTTTTCCATGTGCAGTCATCATACACAACCTTCTGCACTCCCCGCGAGTTGGAGGACGAGTTCGTCCTCATTGACCAATGTTGTAACCTTGTTGAAGGACCAATATCTGAAACATCATCACTCATAGGGGAAAATCTTGGGGACACATATTTGTGTTATCATGAATTTGGCCCCATTTCTGCTCGGCTTATAATCATACTTCGCAGCTTCGTACTTCTGGATGCACTCGAGGATGCAGATATGTAAGCGCCACCCGTCAGATGTTCTCAAAGGGGCGATCACGCAACTACCAGATCCGGAAAACGCCCAATCCTCCTTGGAAGGCCTGCCAGTCGCCAAAGCTAGAGCTTCTTACACAAGGCTCGTCAACGGCCGACTGGAATTAGCACAGGAGAGATCGGTCAAGCGGCGAAATGATAAGTTCTATTTCCGCTTCTATCAAATCGGAAGAAATCATATAGACATTATCAACGCAATCTTGTTTGACAACATATTACGATGCACGAGCATCGTGTTCCAATCGGCTCCTCCTTTTTAAACGTACACTCGAAGAGTACTTGACGACAGACTTCCCCTGTTTCAAACAAATCGGCGATTCAGAGCGGCATTCCACAATGAGTCGTCAAATATGCCTTGAGAAGCTATCCATCGTGCTCAAGTCGTTGGGATCTCAGAAAACCCCGATTTGGCATGATGACGAGAAAAGGCCATGCATTTCATTAGTTGATGACATGTTGCTGAATACGACAAAAGTAATATTTGAGAGAAAATTCGATTTTCGAGAAGGAACTTAAGTTGGCCTATTTTGGAGCATGTACTGTGCTTTAGGTATGGAAATATGAAGTTATTTTGCGTTTCTATGACAAGCTACTAACCTTTCTTAACTTTCAAGCAGGAACCAAAAAAACATTTGTTAAAGACCTCGAGCAGTCGTGGAGACTATATCAGCTCCAAGCGTTTGTGTTCAAACTCAGCTGGGGGCTTAGAGACACTATCGGCCAAGCCGTTCGTGGTGAAATGTTAGATTTAATCGTACAGGTTTACCCGAGACGTGTCTGGCTATTTGTAAAACACATGAGGTGGATGTTCTCAAGCGAATATGCTATGCTTCAGGAAACGTATGTCGGCACCGCACCCATTTTCGCAGCGAAAACAAAGCATTTTTTGAGCCAGAGATAGAAGACGAGGTCGTCAGAGGTTAGTAGCCATTCCCCTATCAAATTTGGTCCATAGGTGAGCTATCATATTGACGGGATGCATAGGAAATCTTGAAGTTGATCATCATAGCCTTTCACGGCTTATATTGATGGCTGGATTCTGCAACATTTACCCTGCTCTACTCGAAAGGCAAAGATGGAACTGATATGTAGAGATGTATTCCTCGTCGACAGCCTGACATTAAATAGCTCTTGATAAGCCAATCCACCGAAACCCGGCCAAAAGCCCTTGATAGCCGACATCTTGGGGTGGTGTCAACACTGTGGAGTGGATTTCTGATGTGAAAAGATGGCTTAGAAGCGTTCATGTTAAATATTTCCACGTCTTGACGTTGCTATATCTAGTCAAACATCTAGCGTCCGGTACATGAACAGGGAATATGCGCTGCAAGCTTAAAGGCATCATTTTTGAATAACAAGTCAAGGTAGCAGCTTCCTAAGTCATCTATGCTACGTTGAGAAACCGTCCGAAACTGGGCGAATGTTTGTAGATTGATATTTTACACTATATCCAGCGCAACTTCATCGTATTCGAGCCAGTACGGCGTTTATTGCATTTCCGGTCGTTTCAACGTGCAGCGTGTCATCCAGGCGAGCCAGGATTTTTGTTCAATCTCCACTCACAAGGCCGTCAGACTCACTGAATTCAGCCCTATGCTGCGCAGAACGGATGACTGTGGGTCCGATAACCTGCACTGATTTCCTAATACAGCATGATCCTTCACAAGTCAATAACCCAGACGACTACCTTTAGGTCTTTAGTGGTCGGTTATTCAAGCTATCCTTGGTCTTTGGGTTCAGCTTTTCGAATACAATCCCGGCATTTCAGCGGCAAAGCTCTGTAGCTAATTCGGTCGGCACGTCACTACAGTCCTGATAATGGGCCGTCTCAAGGCAATTCCGCCTGTCAACATATCAAATTCGATGCCTGCGGGACCCAGCCTAGAATCGTTTCTCTTACCATTAAACTTCGAGAACTTCTGGCCTGGGCCGGACGTTGAAACTAGAAGATTTTGTCTTAGGCTGAACTTTCGCTGCTTCCTGGCCCAACCATCGTTAGTATAATGACTCGTTTACTATTTCCGCTTATTGTCCTTGGATATCAATTCATCGAACTATCATTTGCGGCGCAATGTTACCTTCTAAACCACGCACAAAACGACGCGAAGGCGGTGGCCGCTTGTAATACAAGTGCAACCGGCACTGCTGGATCGCACAGCACTTGCTGCAACAAAGCGAATGGGGACGCCTGTCTATCCTCCGGGCTGTGCCTCAACACCATAGCTTATGTGCAAGGCCACATGCTCTGGGCTACAGGCTGTACAGACAAGACATTGCAGGATGCTAGCTGTCCTCAAGTTTGCCAGGGCTCGAAATATGGTAAACTTCCATCTCCTCTTATGGCTTGATTTTCCAAATCCGGCTCCTGTTGACTTATGCCGTTTTAGGCGAGGTTGGGAACTATGCTCTTCGATCATGCATCGCCAACGGCACAAAGAACGAGTGGTGCTGCAGCACGGGCGACGACCAAAGTCTGAATGACTGTTGCAAGAACAGTTTCAAGTTACCCATCGCCATTGGCACGGTGGTCCACCAGTTGAGCCCAAGTTCGTCTTCGACATCGACAAGCACGACGCCATCCTCGACGGGCACAAACTCGGACGCGACAGCATCGACATGCGCAGAGAATTCAAATACCGGCTACATTGCGGGCATTGCGGTAACATCGGTTCTCTTTGGTCTCGCAACCGTCACTTTGATCGGAGCAGTGTTGCACATTAGAAAACTCGAACGCCAGACAAAGGCTGCTCAGTCTCCGTCTACGGTAAATGGAACCCTGGCTCCATCCGCAACAGCGTACAGTCCATATCAGCAATCGTATTCGCCAGCGACAGCCACGCCAGTCGCATCGACTACCGGTCAGTATCCTGCCTATGCGTATGACCGACAGGTTCGTCCAGAGCTCGGCGGAGAAGTAGTTAGTGAAATGCAAGGTGCGAGTCTGAGACCGAATATCCCGGAGCTGCCTGAGAAAACATCACACCAGCTTCCATAGGGATAATACAGCAAAACCAGTTCAGAAACCGGATGTCCCAGAAGCTAGGCTTCCACAATTTTGTCCGGTGGGTATTTGGAGAAGCTGCGTGATGGAGTCACAGCCGCTCGTGTGGACCGATTGTGCTAGTCACAATCAGAAGAATTGCGAAGTGGAGGTAGAAAGTGGGATCGATAGAAATTGACTCTCTATGTCAGTTTATGATCCTTAGCAACGTTTATTGCAATCAAAGAAGCTGCATAAGAGCATTCATAAAACGCTGCGCTGTTTGGAGGAGGCCCTTGTTGTGGGAGCGTGTTAAGTGAGGTACAGTAGATACCTAGGTAATCAGTCAGTGATGACATAATCGCTCCAGTCGGCTACCGTGGCCCCGACCACCAATTAAGTTAATGCCACTTCGTCAATATCCCAAGCTATTCACAAGGTGTCCTCACTTACAACTTGCGACCACGACGCTCTCTAAGCTTCCATGTGAGGTTGCGATGCAGCCAACGGCATCATGCGCCGCCTAAACTTCGTTTTTCTAGCTTCCCTGCAACTGTGCAGGGCGCGTCAGCACGGTTTCAGCATCCACGATGATCTGCTAGCTTATCCTCAGGTATGTCGCATTTACCATATCCAGCTCGCTGGCTGTCGTTGTGCTGACTGAGCAATCGCAGTTCGAAGTCGTTTTTTCAGACACATATATATCGGAGCTCGATGCCCAGCGACTTCTAGAAAGCACTAAGCCGCCTCCCCCGACATATTCGACGGACTCGACCCCAGAGACAGATCTAACGAGCCAGATCTCAGCTTCTCCTTCTCCGGCTACCGGCCCCGATGGGGGCGCTGAAGATGGCATGCCAGAGATATCGGAAGAGTTTGAGATCATGAACATACCACCTTCGAGATACCTATGCTCCGTACCGGTATTGGCGCCTCCCCCAGCCCCGAACCAGACAGCTGCAGCGCTTGCGAAAGCAGAGGAAGCACGAGAGCTAAGCAGAGCCTCAGTGCGAGGATGGGAGCTGATGAGCGATTTGGAAAACCAATGTTTATTCTACATGTCCGGGTGGTGGAGCTACAAGTTCTGCTACGGCCAGGACATCGTCCAGTTCCATGCCCTACCGAACAACGTCAAGGGAGGCCTTCCCGTTAGAGATCCGCATAGCCAGGAATACGTGTTGGGAAGGGTGCAACAACACCAGCATCAATCGCAGCCGAACAAGCGCGAAGGGCAATGGAAGGGCGAACAGGCCCCTCTTCAACAGCAGGCGAACACGCCGCCCAATACAGAGCTACAGATCAAGGGCGACCAGCGATATCTAGTACAGCGCATGGAAAGCGGGACAGTTTGCGACTTGACCGGCCGAGACAGGACGATTGAAGTGCAGTATCACTGCAATCCAGGCTCAATGGGTGATCGCATTGGCTGGATCAAAGAGATCACAACATGCTCCTACCTGATGCTGGTTCAAACCCCTCGGCTCTGCGAGGACGCCGCTTTCCTGCCCCCTAAGGAGACTAGGGCACACCCTATCAGCTGCCGACTCATCATAGGCTCAGACGAAGAGGCAGCTGCCTGGCACCAGCGTAAGACACTAGAAGCGAGGGAAGCAATGGGCGTTGGCGACAAGGAGCACCTAGAGGTGGCGCAGGCTGGACAACAAAAACTCGAGAATGGTGGGCAGAGAACCCCGGCACAGCAGCCAAACCAGTTCAAGGGTATGCAGGTGGGAGGTGTGATTATTGGGAGTGGCCAGCGTAGCAACACCGAAGATGGACAGCCACTGCCGAAGCTCAAGCCGCCACGCAACTTCGTCTCTGGGAAGATATCTGGTGGGCCGCTTGTCGAGGTCCTCGCCCACGCCAAGAGTAAGGCTGATGGCGGCAAGGTGGAGGTGATGAGCGAGGAAGAGATCGAGAAGCTAAACCTCAACCCCGAGGCCATTGAAGAGTTTCAGCGGGAGTTGCAAAAGCTTGCTGGTGATAAGGGGTGGAAGTTGGAAGTTGTCGAGGTTCCTGGCGAGATTCCTGAGATTCGAGGCGTAGTGGAAACCGATGAGAAACAAGGCAGCGATGACAAGGAGAACGAGAAGGTCAAGGATGGCAAAGAGGGCGAGGGAAGTGAAGAGAAGTTCTTCAAAGAAGAATTGTAATATACATTGAAGTGTTATTGGCGTTTGGCAGCACAATAGGAGACTAAATGAGTTAATAATCCAGTGCCTAAAATAGTCGGTGCTCGCCACTCTGTTCTGTCCAAGTCTAATGGCATGTGAACACAGCGACCGCCGGACTCTCCCCCAAGTCATAAAAGCTTTGTTTGTTGGCAATACAGTCTACCCAGACTCAGTGGAAGTGAAGTTTGTCCGAGTTTCCTCCCATCCTTGTCCTCTAACTCCCCTTGCATGCTGTCTCCGTTGCAGGGCCTCAGTCCCAGCATCGAAATTCTCGAGCCTTTGATAGACGAATGGCTACCTCACGAGCCCGAGAGCCTACTGCTTCTCCGCAGACGATTTATCAATGGTCGGCGTCTATGCTAATCGCTATATGGATTGCTGGCAGGTGCTGGGCTTGGGCCGGGTCGGATCAGGTCTGGGATGAGAGGTTGAGATCGTATGGTAATGACATTTGACACATATCCCAGAGATTGAACGCATTGTGATGATCAAGCTGTATCAGAGGACGAGGCAGATAATTCAATCGAGCTAAGAGGAAGAACCCGGCCTAATTAGCTTGTATTGTTCGCTGCGAACTGGGCAAGAACGATCAAGTCATGAAGCAAACGGCCGCTGGGCTCCTTCCCGCGTTATAAGTAGCTCGAACTCATCCTACACCGCCGCGGCGAGAACCTTCTCATCGGCAGCATGGGCATATCAAGTATTCTCGGTAGTGACATTCTCTTTTACAGCTACGAAAGGTTACGACAAGCCTCATATCGACCTAACATAGGATCTATACGCTACACCTTCGGTGTGTCCATCCTGACGCAGCAAACGCCGAGGCGGAAAGTGACAGTGTAGGACGTCTCTTCAAGCAATATGGGGACCATCACTTGGTCAGGCAACCACCTAGCAATCTCGCGGTCAAGCATAGCCATGGACGGTGCTATGAATCGGTTTAGAACCAGGGCGCGAGAGTACACAGCCGGTTCCGGCGGTGAAGATAATGCATCCGTTGGGAGTTGTACTTGCCGATGGCCAATAATGCGGAGCATGAGCCCCAGGGCTCCAACAAATACTGCCTTGCGTGACTCCCGATTATAACTCTTCTTCGAATTCCCTCAAGCATGACGGTGGGCTCAGTGCGTCGCCATCGAAAAAGACCTAACAACGTCAATATTCATGCAGAAGATCCGGAAGCCCGGTCTACCAAAATAAGAGAGCAAAGCAAACATGACGTTTTAGCTTCTCTGCCCCGAGAACAGGAGCAGCAGTTGCGTCGTACAATGATCTTGATCGTCTGTTCGAAACATTCCACAGCCTCGGTGAGCCATGCTCGTCGGTGCCGGAACCAGTCCCCGAGGCGCAACCTCCCGAGGACCATGCATGGAGCCGCTTGGGTACTGTACACGATGCTCCGCAAGGCTTTGATCTGGGAAGGCACTGCCCACCCCTACCAGGTTCATACTGGCCTATACATACTGTAAAAGAGGCCGGCAAGGGCTGGCGGGACAATTCAAAAGAGCCGACTAGCAACTGCCGAGAGGCGGAGGATTGGGGCTTCGCTATTATGTTACGACCATATCGCGACGGCGTAGGAACATCACTAAGGTTGATTTGCGTGCAATGCTTTGCGGCTCTTGTCAGGCAAACATTGGCGGCATGAACAGGCGGTCAACCCCCGAGGCGACCGAGTGTCTTCGTAGCGGATCCGGAGACAATCGGTGAGAGAAACCGGGCGCCAAACACTCCAGATTAAACGCTTCCGGGCGCCCCGGAGCGGTGGTGGTTCGCAACCAGCCCGTTCAACGCACAGGATCAGCAAGCCCGTGTGACATGCATCCAACATAGTAATCCAGCATGGATGGACGCAATGTGCTGCCCGTGTATGTGTGTGTGTGTGTGTGTGTGTGTGTGTGTGTGTGCTCGCTTGGGCAGATGGACGATGTATTAGTGAATCTAGCGAAGCACAGCACGAGCACAGATCGATCTTTGATCAGAATAGGGAGATGGTGGATGGATGGAACATGAGCGTGCTCTGCCGTTGGTCACAGATTGTGCTTGTCAGTGCGAAATTTCCCTGGCGAACCATTGCACGCCAGGCTGGCCGAGACTGGTCCGCCCCGTAAATGCTTCCTGACCAGTCGACTTAGCAGGGCGGTCGCCTCACTTCTGATGGACAGCGCACATCCAATCGCGGCACCGAGTGAGGCAACGCAGGGAAGTCCCATGCTCGCCGCCAAGGCTCGTCGGGTTTTCCAGCAGTATGGACACATCCCCAGGCATCCCTGTCCTGGCCGACCTCTGAAGTCTGACGGCGTTGAGTAGCCTGCATGCGCGCCATGCAAGCACTTAGCTGAACGAGGGGCATGAAGGCAAACTCTTTGCAGACTACCAAATGGCCGCGCTTGTGATGGCCTCACTCCGTTTGAGTTTCTTGTCCTGGACGACTTGGAGTTGCAGCTGCGAGATGCAGTAGCGCTGCAGAAGCTGCAGAAGCTGCCAGTCTACACTTCCAAATCAATCGAATCAGAGCAGTTCAGCCACCTCACAAAGCATTCAGTCAATCACTCAGTCACCCTCTTCGTAGCTCTGGGATAGGCCGGTCAGGCATCGTCAGGTTATCCACCTGCGTTGGAACTGGAGGGTATGGAAGCACCTTAGGGAAGACGGAAGACACATAAGTCGCTCTAGCTGGCAATCAAAACGCCCGTCGACACTTGCTAACCTTCGGCATGATAGGCTGACTCTGGCATCATCCGGAACGGTGCAAAAGTAAGCAACGGGCCAGTGACAACATGGGGAAGCCGCCGTCATGCACGACAATTGGATGCCGTCACGTTCAAGTCGCGAAGGAGCAAGCCACACAGTTGCAAAATTGTGTTTCTGTCACAATTGCAACTGTAACTGATCTGAAATGTGAGAAGTCCAGGGACGGATTTTTGGGACAGCCACTCACCCATGCTGAAATGACGGTGGTAATGACGCTGTATACGGACAGCCGCATGGACATGCTGTATTTTTTTTTGCTTTTTTGTCACTCGCGCGCCATCCCATACATCTCTCCCACGCTGACCGTAGAAGCACATGCATCATATTATCATCATCATCATCAAGGTTATAGGGTGTCTGTCGCTGCTGCTCTCCGTCTGGAATTACCACCGTTTCCTGACAGACTTGATTTTCCACATCCTAGAATCCCAACCTGTGGCGGCATGGCTTGCAACCACGTCTTTCACGATGTATTTTGGGAGGTGGCGCTAGCCAACACATCGTGATCCGTTAGACCTGTCAGAAATTACGGCAATTAATGACCAGAGATCTTCCATCTGCCTTCCATTTTCTCTTCCACCCCCCAGGCATGAAGACAAGCCACTTGTATCGTCTTCGCTCATTCCCCGGGTCCGTGAGCCACGATTCTGTCCAAGAATCTCTATCTATATGCATCGATTCAAACTACTAACGACATCCAGCGTCCCAGACTTGTGGGCCTCTTGTGTCAGTGACCCTTCTGGACCTTTCACCCCTGTGCAATAGCACCAGAAGCTAGAGTTTAGTTGGAGGTGTGGCGCCGCCCGTACCGTTCCGTACCGGACCGTTTCTGTGTAGTACTTTTCTACTTACTACTGGGCTGTCCCGAAGAACTAAGGATAGTCAGTCAGTTGCATGCTCCAATGTCGAAGCCGGCCCAGTTATGCATGTCTATACCAGCGCACGACAGCACATGGCCGCCATCGCTCCACACAAGAGTCCTGATAAAGTAGCATCGTCAGCGTGTCACCCGTGTGCCCGGCAAGTCATGGACAGGTCGCTCAAAACAGCTACGGCAGAGCTTACTCGACGACGGTCAAGAGATATGCTAGCTGCAATGAGATGTCTAAGGTTGCCTTCAGCAGTCGGGCAACCTGAAAGCCTCCAAGCCTTCTGTGGGAGGGAAAGTGTTCGACCGTCCATCCTATTGAGGCATGGATATCCAGCCACTAATCGGAAGATAAATCGACCCTCCAGCAGCAAATATTGGATGGTTCTAGCGTGGCACCCACTCGAGCCACTGTGTCACAGCTGGGCTGGCGCTCGCTCAGAGAGTGGGCTCACAGGCAATCAGTTCAAAGTCAGACTCGGCCAGGTTGCGGTGCTTGTCCCAAAACGCTGCGCCGAGACATGGCCAACCGGCACCGCTAGGAAGCGTTTCATTTCGCCCTGTCCAACAATCACATACCCTGGTCTCTTCACCGTCGATCTTGGACAACGGCACGCCCAATGACGAACAAGTCACACTTCACCCACCCCCCGGCACCCCGGCCAGGAGAGGCACAAATCTGGACACCCTGGTGCTGTCGTCCCCACCATTGCCCATCCCACACCACCCACGCCTGCATCTCGACCCAATCCTCGTATGGACATGACATGGTGGGATCACTCTAGGACAAGCCCACTTCAGGACTGGTGCAGTCGTGCGTGTTCGGCCTAATAAATTGCAACGACGCTTGCTTGCATCCTCTTCAAGCCTTGTCTCGATGACTGGCTTTTGAAATACTGCACACCCCGTCCTACTCTCATTCCTGAAACTTTCGTTCCATTTGTGCAAAAGTCTGTCTACGAACAGTCCATACTCTTCACGCTCTCTGATCTACGGCAAGGCCACCTAGCGAGACGAACAAGCTTCTTGTCATCCCAGCTAGACTCTCGCCGTTTGCGCTGTTTAGATCACTAGTGGGTGAGGCTGCGATTGTGTTCACTCTCAACACCTTCGCCTTTCTTCTAATTACGTCTCAAACGTACTCAAACAATACTACTACCCGCCTTGTTCATTGACCCAAACAGGGCATGATCCATAGCAATATGAGTCAGAATCATCTCGATCTCGAAACATTAGAAGCTCTCTGTCGCCAGAAAGAACGCGAAGCAAGACAGAGGGAACTAGAAGCCCGGAACCTACATGACCAAATCGCGCGGTTAAAAGCCGCGGGCACTGTAGTCGAAGCAGCAGTTGTTTCTTCTGGTAACTTTCAGCTCTCGTCTTCGCCTCCTGTGAATGTCCGTCAAGATGGTAGACGCAATACAGTTCCCCGGAATCTCTACGTCCAGACGACGGGAGCCCGGCCCATAGTAAGACGTACAATGACTAGCAACCTTGCCTCGCGTGTCTAACCTTTCGTGATTAGGATCACCACCATGCCCAGCCGCCTCCGATGAAGCGCGCAAAGACTGTCGCAAGCCGGCCACAGCAGCCCATGTCGAGTTCTCAGGCTCACAACATGGCACGCTCGAGCTCAAGCATGTCGGCGAAGTCTACTCCAAATCCATTCACAGCTGCGGGCCATATTACCCCGCCAAATCTACAGCAGCAGGCACCAGCAGCAAATACAAGCATGATGACGGACTTCCTGAGTAGCTCTGACTTCCACCAGCCCGCGAACACGTTCATGTATGCTCACCAGTCTATGGGACGATCAGATCTCGCCCCCGTAGCTGAGGGAGGAAGTGTCATGGATGTCGGCGATTGGCTCAACTCGAAGGGCGAGCTCGTGCCACCCTCTCCCATCGGCCCAACCTCACTCACCACTTCACCGATAGCCATCAACTCAAGAGATCTTCTCTCTCCCTTAGATGCATTGCCACAATTCTCGTCAAATCCCGGACTCCAGTCACAATGCGGTTCTTTGACATCCGCTGCGACCTTGGAGAGCCCCATGACTAGATCAAATAGTCAGGCATGCCAATCAGTTTCCGGCCAACTACCTATCGATATGATGAGATTAGGCTCGCAGTCCTCTGGCAATGATGCATTTTCCAGCCAAGAGGCGGCCTTCAGCAATGTCGCAAATCAATACTCCACCCTTGGCAAGCGCAATGCTTCCAACGAGGATTTTCTGCATCTCGGCGCCATGCCACAATTCGATTATGGCACATCAGCACCTGTCAAGACAGTTTTGCCTCACGACCTCGCCAACATGGAGCGATCCATGTCGACAGACAGCCGAAACTCTACAGGGTCTATGGACAAGCGGAGAATGATGCCTCCCATGTCTAATGTGGATAACTCTTATCCTACATATCCGGTTCCCATGGAGAGGAGCGAGACTCAAGACAGCCAGATGTCGACACAGTCTTACAACAACATGTCCCTGCAGCCATTCAGTGAGCACTTTGTTGGTATGGAGCGTTCAATTTCAGCGAGCAGTGCCAAGTCTGCGCAGTCGCTCAAGCTCCGAGCCAAGGAGGCACTTAACCGCCAGAACCTGAACGCAGCGAAAGCCGCCGTTCTCGCGCCGAAGCCTGCGGCTGACAAGTTGAAGTCGGAGCCTGCATCTGACGCTGCGAGCAAGAATGGCAAGGACGGCAAGGTGCCCATGCCAAAGGCCAAGTACGAGCGACCGAAGCACCCCAAGGTCAAGTGTGGTCAGTGTGATGAGTACCCTGAGGGTTTCCGTGGCGAGCACGAGCTTCGCCGGCATACCGAGGCAAAGCACCGAGGTGTTGTCAAAAGATGGGTGTGTCGCGACCCTGCGACGGTCAATCTCACTTCAGAGGTCGCCGCCGTCAATCCGCTAGACAAATGCAAGCAGTGCAAGGCCAACAAGCAGTATGGTGCCTACTACAATGCCGCCGCACACCTGCGCAGGACCCATTTCAAGGCCAAGCCTGCGCGAGGCAAAGGTGCAAATGCTGCCGCCAAAAACACCAAGGGCGATGAGACACCTCCTGAAAAGCGTGGTGGGAAGGGCGGAGGCGATTGGCCCCCAATGCTGGAGCTCAAGAAATGGATGGTCGAAGTTCAAGTGCCCGTTGACGACCCAAGTGCGTTTGAAGGCGCCTTTGAGACCTCCACTTCTTTCGATCAAGAGGAGATGCTGGAGTTCGACATGTCTGAAGACATTTCACCTGCTGCCATGGCACATCTCCCCAATGGCGGCTTCGATACTGCTTTTGCTGGTATGGGGGGTAATTTCAACGCCTCTGAGCTCGACAGCTTCGACAACGTGTCAAACAACTATCAGAGCCTTCCGGGTGAATTTGCCGGTGCCCCTGTCATGCTCAACACCATGGATGGCATCCCAATCTCGTCAGGATCTGCCAACTTTGACTTTAACAATGGTTCAATGACACACAACCTACAGCCGGGCATCATGACTATTGATGGCAACGCCTACCACAGCCCCAATGTCTCTTCAGCTGCTACTGTCACGCCCGCCAATGCGTATCAAGAGCAGCAGTTCTCACCCACAAACACTGCTATCGGCCCACAAGTTGAAAGTGCAATTGGTGACCTTGACTTCAACGAAATGATGTTCTCTAGCATGCATGGCGTGTGATGATCTAGGCTAACTGCTGCATCTTTGCTCTCTTGATTCGTGCTTGCTTACTTGCTATTCCCATATTTCAAGACCACCCTCGAACAATGAAGACAAAAGAACAAAAAGAGAAGAGCGAGTATGTCTAATGGTTTCCTTTACGACCTAACGGCCGTCTTGCTATTCCTTTTTTTTGCTTCTCAAGATGGGAGGACGACCCGACAGCGAGCTTGCTCCCCTCACCGGCGAATCTTGCTGTCGGGTCATGGGCTTGAGAGACTAGTGTACCTTGAGGTATTCGTCTCACTCGCCCTTGGATTTCTTTACTTTTTCGACGCCGCTATTTGCTACGCTTTCTAATGCTTTTCTGCTTTCCGTTTGCCGTTTCCTTTCCTTTACGGGACTCGCCTCCCTGTTTATGACTTTAATTCCTTACTTGTCACTCTCGCTCTCAAGTCGGTGGGGATACGTTTTGATCAACACGCTCCCGATCCAACCCTCGGTCCTTCTTGGCCATCGCAACTTGCATGGGGGACGGGAAGTCAGCGGTGTTGGTCTACTTGTACATATAATACCTGACGTTGAGCATCCACAGAGATGGATGACAGAAGTGTTCAAAACGGTTGGGGGGCTACTGTGCCTTGAATGGCAAAGGGTCGGCTGTTCAAAAAGCATCGGGACGGTCTGGGGTGACTGTCCCGTGGATATACGGTTTTGCTTTTCCCGATGGACGTCTTTGGGAACGGTGATGGCTTCAAGCCTGGCGTTGCTGCGTTATCTGCTGTACATACAAGGCTGGAGAGCCCGGCTTGATGCGTGGATGCTTGGAGGCTATTGCATGGCGAGGCGTTTTGAGGTTTGCTGTTGAATACTGCTCTCATGGTTCTACTTTTGGGCGGGAAGGAAGATGTGTCACGAGTTGAATGATGTCACGAAGACGCGAGATGGTTCAGGCTTTGATCATGTATCAATATCTTAGCTAGAGGGGGTCTATGAACGCTCCCCGAAGGCAAAGACGCCTGCGCTGGTGAAAGGCGCAAGGCGATGTCCTGAATACGAGACGGCGCGTGCCCATACTGCGGTGCGCGCTGGAATTAAACATACACTTGACTTGACTTTGACTTTGACTCATTGCTTCATTCTCAATAAACTCAATCACCCATTTAGTTTGAGTGCTATCATTCGTGCAAGCCATTCCCGTGCATCCAAGCCTCGTCTCCTCTAATGCACCGCGGACCGGTAATCGGTCCAACTTTAGAAACTCAAGGCTGACTGGCGCGTTGGCACATGTGCGAAAATCAACCGTCAGAAAAGCTCGAGTACGCTCTGGGCAATGGTGTGCAAACCTATGCATGCTAAATGGGGTGCAGGTCTGCCTCACGGCGCACATCACCAGCAAGGCAGCCTGTTGTCCAGTCCTTGGCCAGGGGGGCCATAAGGCAACCGAGCGGGGTTTTGGCCTCCAGTTGACCAGCGCACCACAAAGCTGTGCGCGATTTTGAAGGTGGACGCCATCGTCTCAACAGAGTGGTAGTGTAGAAGAAAGACGAGGCGGGCCACCACAATGTTGCAATCCAGCCAGTCACCGGAAGTTGGCTCAGCAGCTGATATGAAACACGGCACCCTCACCACTAGCTTTATCTGTCTCACTTCAAGAGATGAGACTATGGTGCCAATGTATCCCCTGGCGCTTGAATATAGCGAATGGTTACCAACCATCCCAGACAACAGCACTAATAGCGATTTACCAGAACCTTGCGAACGCTTTTACGGCGTAGTCAATCGTGCGATTATCTCCGGCAGCATCAGAAGCTTAGAAATAAAGTTGAGAAAACTTTCAAGATGTGGCTTTCCCCCACAAGGCTATAACAGACATTGTTTGCAGTTGAAACAAGTAGACTTGAGTGGCTCCTCCCGAGGTGAAGCTTGGCACATGATAGTCCGTCCGATTGAATGATGATAGACATGCTCCCGAATCTCTCATCTGTAATCTCTCATTTCAATGATGCTCGATAGCTGAACGCGACGAGCATAATAACTATCAGACTTCATGTTCTAGCAACAAGCAGTACACAGTGGTTGTATGGTGGATGTGCTATGCCATGCTCCGGCCATGCCATAGTTTCGAGCTCAATCATCAGAGTATGCGGGAGTAGCCCGTATCAAAGAGGAGGAAGCCTGTGCGCTTCTGGACGCCTCTTCAAGAGATCTATCTCCTGAAATTCATGGTCTCATTAATGCCAATGGATCTTTCCGATCATAGAAGAGTTATGACGAAGAGGCGCATGTGTAGAGCTTTGTATCGACCTAGAAACATTTAGAAGCTTGAATACTAGTGTCCGACTACTCGAGCTATTGTAATCTTACAATATTGTAGAGACTTGAAGATAGCTCATAGATAGTGTCAGTAGCATACAATCTCAAGCCAGAGAGACATAGACCGGCTTACAAACGCGCCCGCGGCCATCTAAAGCTTTTTGTGAATAGAATGCTGATGGGATTGAGATTCGCCATCTGTTCTAGCCATCACCCGCCAGACGACGAGCGCAGCGTATTTCGTGAGGGGTTTCCTTCCAGTGTAGTATGATGCCTGTCTCTTAACGCTCCATTCTGGATGGGGCTGGATATAACTTCATCCTTTTAGGTTAAACAGCGGAATCGTCATTTTTCCATCTGGGTTACAATCTTCTATCAACCCCGCAGACTCCATAGTATTGAATATTACCCCAGGTTTCTTGTTTGTGGATAATGCCACGAACAGCACACTAGTAAGGACAAAAAGTCGCCAGAGGATATCATGCCGATCTGGTAAACGATTTCCCCCTTAAACCTTGACTTCTCGATTAAGCACGCCAACCATCAGACGTCATTTCACGATCAGCAATCTACATACAAAACTATGGCATCTGCAACCTGTTATCTCGGTGTTTTAAATGCCAAGACGCGGCGTTCCATCAACCTCTGTCTCGAATTGTTGGAGGCATCTCGCCTTTTGTCATGACAGTCGCCATGCACTTGTTAACTACCTTCTTGACATTTATTTCTAGTGTCGTTGCTCTAGTCCCCGTGCAACGAGACGTGGCTGCTCAGCCATGCGGCGATGGGTTAACAGTGCGTACGACAAGCGGTGAGCTCAGAGGCTTCATCAATAGCACTGCACCCTGGACGCGTCAATTCCTTGGTGTCCCATACGCGGAACCTCCAGTCGGTACTTTGAGATTCAAGCCACCAAGACGCAAACGTAGTTCGGCGCCATTGAACGCGAAGGCGTTCCAGCCATCGTGCAAACAACAATTGAGCAACTCTTCAACTATCTATACGGAATGGGAAACACAGTTCCTTATCAATGGCCCAGACTCAGAGGATTGTCTCTATTTAAACGTCTACGCACCACTGTATCCTGTCAATGACAAGTTGCCGGTTTTCATATATGTTCCAGGAGGTGGTTTCACCGGCGGGGGTGCAAACTCCCTATATAAAATTCCTGATAAATGGATCAATCAAACCCAATCACATATTGTCATTACAATCAACTATCGAGTGAACCTTTTTGGGTTTCCCTCTGCTAAGGCTTCATTCCTGAATCTTGGCCTTCTCGATCAGCGAGTCGTGGTAGAGTGGGCATACGATAATATAGCTGCATTCGGAGGTGATCCCGAGCGGATGGTGCTTTGGGGACAAAGCGCCGGGGCGATGTCTGCGGCATACTACTCATATGGGTGGTACAACGATCCTATCGTCAAAGGCTTGATTGCCGATTCAGGAGCCGCGAGTGGTCTGAGAGCACCTTCGTATAGCAACTTTACTGCACTGGCCGGCAAAGTTGGTTGTGGCGGGCTCTATGATGAGGCCGAGCTTGCATGCATGCAAGCAGTCGATGCTACTACGCTCCAGAACCTAGTTTCCACCACTTCTGGTATATCATTCGGGCCGCGTGCAGATAACGTGACAATGTATGGGAATTTGGCAGAGCGCATAGCGAATGGGCTTGTTGCAGATATTGTGAGTTTGCTCTCGAACGATACAAAACTTCAAACATTTCCGCAGTCATCTTGGCTATGTCATGCTTGGTCTAACCTTCTAAATTAATAGCCTATGATTAATGGCAACAATGACAATGAGGGAGCTGGCTTCAGCCCGTCGTCTGGTGAGACCCAAGCAACGTGGCAAACCGGTCTAAGTGCCATTACCTGCCCAGTGTCAGCAGAGGTCGCGTAAGTCTTGTCATCGTCTTATGAACTTTAATTAGAAAGACTGTTACTGACACAATGTCTTGGCAGTTTGCGTGCTTCGAGTAATTTAACAACATATCGGTATTACTACAGCGGCAACTTTTCGAACATCTCACCCAAACCCTGGATCGGTGCTGCGCACAGTGGTACGTGAAACCCACTTAGATTGATTCATGTCAAAATAGTCCGGAGACTAATCAAGAGTGATCGGTAGCTGAATTACCGCTGATATTTGGAACTCACTGGGAGTACCGCGGTAACTCGACTGAGTTTGAATGGCAAGTCAGTGCAATCATGCAAGGTAAGTGCTCCTTTTAAACACTGCAGAATTGATGTCTTCATTGAACAGCGAACTGAAACTAAATTGAAACAGAATTTTGGCTGTCTTTTGCATCCAATCCATCTGCCGACCCGGTCGCTGGAGAGATCACATGGCCAAAATACTCAACTACGGCTAACACCACACTGCACTTTGCTGCAGAGAATGAAGTCGTACAATACATCAACGGTAGCGTTGTCGATGACCTATGTCCAACTTCTACGTGTCCGACATGCGCCTACTTCAACTCTATAGCAAGTTAACGAGATGAGGTCAGTAATGGCATCGTGCTTAGCATGAGGAGAGACAGCATCTCAAGCGTAATAGAATAGATGTGAATGACAGCATACTGGCAATCAATGACATCCCAGATGTTTACATTTTCCGCAAATCCGAGTGTTTCCTTCGTCTTCTGATGACATGAAACTTGTAAATAGAAGTTGGCAGGGAGTGTTGAAGAGACTCATAAT